CGTCTTCGGTTAGGGCTGCGGTGGGTGGGCGCGCATCCTTGCAGGACGGGAGGCGCGGGCAGGACACGGCGAACCCGGCCCCCGAGAGGCGAGCGTTGAAATCCGCCCAGGCCGGGGGGAGAAAGTAGCCCCCATGGACGATAAGAATGGCGGTAGGCTTCTGGTGGGTCATGCTGAGATGTACGGAGGGAGAAAGCTGGGTGGAGGAGGGAAATGAGGAGAAGAGGGAGAGAAGATGTACGGAGTACTGTGGAGGACAAAGTAGGAGATCCGCGGGCAAAGAAGTAGCGTGGCTGGCTTAACCCCGGTAGCGCCGTGCTGACGCCCTGAGGCCATGGGTGAAGTGAGCACTACTGCAGTGTAACATTAAACGGGATCGGCCAACAATGGCAGGACTACGGTCTAGATCCGGGATGGCAACAGGGTGGAGAATTGGGGCATGCGCATGGTAAGCAAGACCCTCCTGCACGAGGTATACTAGGGTTGACTACGGAGTAGGGTTATCTAGTTTGCCGCGGTTCGGAGGGGAATTGCCTGTCTGAAGTGGTGTGTCTGGCAACCACGATGAATGGACAGCACACCACTGCATGATCATCCAGTTTGGGGGCGGAAAACTAGTCCACGACAAGCTACTCCATACTGGGATTTATAGCATCGGAACCAAGGGTAACTCTCAACCACCCCCCCCCCCATGACGCTGAGTGCTCCTTTGTTCTCAGTCTGCCAGCATGACGGTTGCGCCATTCCTTGTGCTTTGGCTCGTGGTAAGCTTCGTGCTCTACCAGGCGTGGCTGGTGATCCATCGACTCTTTTTTCATCCGCTGGCCAGATTCCCGGGGCCCAAATTGGCTGCCACGACGTTCTGGTGGGAATGTATTCAAGATTTGTTTGCCGGGCAGGGCGGGGAATTCATGAACCAGGTGGAAGCAATGCATGATCGATATGGTAAGTGGCTCGGATGATCCGCTTGGCGTACTGGAGGCACCCCTAAGCTTTTCCATCCCAAGGCCCTATCGTGCGGGTGACCCCAGATGAAGTCCATATCAAGGACCCGGAATGGGCCACCGTCCTCTATGCTGGTCCTGGGCACGTATGGCTCTGTTCATCCAAGACGCTGCCTCCCTTGGAGACTGACCCCGGAATTGATGCATAGATCCGTGATAAGGATTCCTCCTTAGCACATGCAGCAGGAACAGCAGATGGAAGTGAGTACTGAAGATCACCTGGCATCAAAAAAAAAAAAACAACTGGAATTGACGTGGGCCCCCAGCCTTTGGGACTGTCTCGCACGACATTCATCGACGGCGTCGCGCCCCCGTCAGCTCCTATTTCTCTAAATCCTCGGTTGCTAAGCACCTCTTCGACAAGATCTGGCAGCGATCCGAACATATGAGCGATGTACTCCGAGAGCATCACCGTCGGGGATCTGTCGTGAGCGGCCGAGCCACCTTCCTGGGCTGGTCCAATGATAGTCTGCGAATGTGTTCGTTCGGCGAGAGTCTCGACCTACTCGATGATCCGGTCAAGGCGATGGCCTTTGATGATGTCTTCAAGGCGTTTGCGGCTGTTTATCCAATTCTGAAACAGTGCGAATGGATGATTCCGTTCGCCTTGCAATTGCCCATCGCTCCCTTTAGGTATATCTATAAGCCGCTGGCAACGCTTCTGACGGTGCATGTGGTATGTTTCCCTTCCAGCTCGACAATTTCTTTCTCCATACAATGAGGCCTGTGAGTGAACAAATTCTAGAACATGATTGATTTGGCCGAACAACATCGCAAAGAATATCTATCGAAAAATTCCCCGCTAGACAACCAGGATCTAAAGGACGAATCTGAAGCAACACAAAACTCCCAGCGCCAGCATACCCTCTTCCATGCTCTTACAGCCAGTAGTCTCCCGGAAGACGAGAAACGACCGGAAAGGATGGCACATGAAGGGTTTGAGATCCTTCTCGCCGGTAGTGACACCACGGCGCGCACAATGGGCATTGCCGCGTATCATGTCATGGCAAATGCCCCGATCAAGCAAGAACTGCATGAGGAACTGAAAACCGTCATGCCAGATCCGGAAGATATTGTGGAATTGAAGGTCTTGGAGGGTCTGCCGTTTCTGGTGAGTCTGTCGCCCAGGGCGGAAACGAGACGGAGAAGAGAAAGCTGGAGCCGCTTGACGACGACAATTGACAAATCACTGATGCTTCTCAGAATGCAGTTCTGAAGGAGTCCCTTCGGATTGGCAAAGTCACGGATCATCGGCTCAGCCTGGTTGCGCCATACGAGACCCTCCAGTACAAAGAGTGGACTATCCCGGCAGGAGTGAGTTTCCCTCTCCCCTGTATCAGAACAATAACACATTTATAAGCGGATTCGGGCTAACTTCGTCTTGCTTCAACCTAGACCCGAGTGTCAATGACACCAACGAGGAATTCTTACGACGAGGATTATTTCCCAGACCCATATAAATTCGCTCCGGAACGCTGGCTCCAGTCGGAAGATCAAGTTGCCGCCATGAACCGGGTATTCATGCCTTTTGCACATGGCCGACGAGGCTGCCTGGGGATGCAGTATGTTCGGGGCCACTTCTTATCATCCGAATATTGGTAGAGACATTGTGCTGACTTGCGTAGCTTTGCCCAGGCCGAGCTCCGAGCGGGACTTGCGTGTTTGTTTCGACGGTATGACTTCGAACTGGTCGATACGGTTCGTGAGCGGGACATTGATCATTCGTGGGCTCATATCGCCGGGGAGCCCGATAAGAAAGGCAAAGGATTGCGGTTTCGCGTCACCAGGGCGTACTAGAGCGATTGGATGGTTAGATCAATGTAGAATAGAGCGGATCCTTCGGCGTAAGCAGCGAGTCGCAATCAATTGTAAGAGACCGTCTAGCAGTCCGGTGGAGCAAGTCAGCACTAAGATGCCATGCATGCGATGCTTCAGGTACATAGTAGCATGCAGGGCGTCAAGAGGGGCGGTGTCGGTGGGGGGAATATAAAAGGGCCTTGAATGCCCGAGGGGCTTCCCACTCACTTGCATCCACTTTCCCACCATGGCTTCCTCTGCTCCTGTTGTCTGGTGAGAGCAACCCCAATGTTCCCTGGCTATCTTTTCTGGTCCCGTCATTAAACCCGCTCGCCTAGTGACACTGTTCAACCCGATTCGAAAGAGAGAGCATACCCCTTGCCTAGTAATGTGAAGGCACCCCCCAGTACTGGACAAAGGCAGGATCTTGACTGACAGGGGCGCAAACAACCGACAGACAAGCTTCGAGATCCAACGCCTCGGTACGTTCCAGGGCATACCTTGTCTTTGCTAGTCAGACCTTCCTACTGACGACGGCCACTCCGACAGATGGTCAACACGCAGTCTTCAACATTCGCACTCGAAAGCTCTATCACGCTCAATTCCCACTCGGTCAGTCGCCGCCGCGTGTCCTCGATGTTGGCTGCGGCACTGGCGTTTGGACACGACGGTTCGCAAGCGCGCACCCAGACTCGCACGTGCTAGGCATCGATCTTCATCCACCGACCAAACAGGCTACCAATGGGGATGACATCCCACCAAACTGCACCTTTTCCAAGGCCGACTTAGAAGAAGACTGGTCGTTGTTCCCCACCCAGGGCGAGGCCACTTCCCCGTTTGATTATGTGTACATTCGAATGCTTATGGCTGCGGTGCAAGACTGGCCCGGCCTCTTCGAACGGGCATACCACAACCTCCGCCCTGGCGGCAAGATCGAGGTGTTTGAAGGTCTGATGGAGATGAATGCGGAAGATGGCAAGAGCACGGCGAGCACTTCGGCTACGATCCGCTGGTTCGAGCTAGCTCAGCAGTATCTCGCCTTGCACTCCATCAAGTGGGACCTGGCGCGGGATCATCCGCAGCAGCTTAGTGACGCGGGGTTCGAGGTCGTCGAGGATCTATCATTCAAGATGAGACTCTACCCGGATAATGCAGATCATGTCGCACACCGGATTTGGGTCGCAGCGCAATATGCGTATGACATGGCGGACATGGTCTCGGGCATGACGGGGAGGATGAAGAAGGCTATGTTGGATGTTATGTCGGAGACGGAGTGGGACGAGTTGGAGCAAGCTGCCCGGAAAGAGCTTCTTGAGGAATCGGGTGTGAGGGGGTTCTATACAACCTTGTATGTATTTCATCTTCGTTCTTCATTCTTCCTTCTACCATTTACTAACGACGTCTCTTCCTTTAGGTATATTCGCGTCGCGCAGAAGCCACATGATAAGTGAAGACCCAGCTCTACATGACTTTCATCTCGGTGTCTGTTACTTTCTGGCTATTATTTGCACCAGCGAGGGCCTGACTTGGGATACACTATATTCAATGAAGGTTGAGCCTCAATGCTCGGGTACTGTTGCTGCTTCTACAGCTGTTGGCTACAGTTTGGATGTACTGAGCATTGGTCCATGCAAGTGACGTAGTATCTGGCATATATGTTGAGAAATACCGACGGTGGCTATGGACCTAGCAAAGCAACCCAGTAGGACGGACAATACTATATATATCGTAAGACTTCTTCTATATTGTAGGGACTGGCACTACTATTACAAAATCCGGTAACCTAGGTCAAGTCCCCAGCCCACACAAAAAGGATAAAATATACATCTACTACCCAGATCCAAATAAAAGACGTAATTAAACCAGATGGTTCATTCAACACCAAGCCCTATACGGAGTACCCTTGGGTACAAACCCGTGTTCAAGGATCGACGGGAAAAACAAGCAAATTTGACAGCACTTCCAACCATTATCCACCCGATTACAAGTTTACAAACATATATAAATAGAATGCCATATTATCATATCATATCATACCATACCCTACACACTCCACAAACAAACAAACAAACAAAGCAAAACAATACATACACGCCGTACTCCGTACCTCACCTCACCTCCATTCCCCCCACTAAAAACACCAACACCAACCCCAAACGCACAATATATCCCCCCTCACCGGAGAATTCCCCATCAAATGGGCCTATGGCGCAATTGGTAGCGCGTACGACTCCAGATCGTAAGGTTGTCCGTTCGATTCGGGCTGGGCTCATTTCTACCTTTTTTTTTCTTTTTGCGTTTTTGTGCTTTGGAGATGGTATCTTATCGGAACTGGTTTATTTTGTTTGCCTGTAGAGTATAAAGGCCAGGGGTTAGTAGGATTGGTTATTGGGCTGGGGGTGGTTCATCTGTTTGTATTGTTTCTCGCTTCTCTTACTCTTCTTTTTTTTCTTCTTCGTTTCTTGTCAAGGAGATATGTTGGGTATACCAAGAACTAAATGGTGGTTCTGCGTTGCTGTGGCTGTATAGCTGTTCATGAGATCGGGAAGGGTTAGGAAATAGATGAAACGAGCATGACTGCCTATGGAACGGACACTCTTATTGTAAGCGGTGGAGCCCGTGGTGTGTCACAGGAGAGTTCCAGGTACGCATTCCAGGCAGGATGTTCAGGACCAGGAATCAGGAATCAGGCAGGCAGGCAACCACGCAAGCAGGTAGGCAGGCACCGTGACATGTTGCGCCGCAACACCACTCAACAACACTCCCTTTCCCCTGCTTCCACCACCGTTCTTAACACATAGACCCGTTTGGTCCATCAGATCTTTACAGGCCCTCGCAGTCCCAGGACCCTCCGTCTTCTCTCACAAGTTCCGCTTCCACCATGACCAAGCCACCAGACCCATGGACAACGCGCGAGAGTTACCGTGCCGCGCTCAGAGCAATCAGAGACCAAATAATCACCAATTTGAAGACCGATCAGATAGACGAGCCCCAGGCAAGACAAGCCGGCATCCAGCAACACAATCTAAGTCTAGAAGAAGGCCCCGACGCCCCCCTTTTCTTCCAACCCTTCCAAGAGAAACTCACCCCAGCAGAAGAACTAGACTATCCGACGTACAATCCAGGTTGGGAGGATTACCAAAATATCAGAGCCCTGCATATGCATATGCAAAACTGCCTGGCTGAAGCAAACCAACGGGACTATCCAACTCCTACAGGCGTCACCTATAAAGAGTACACCCCTCCCCCTCTCATAAAGATCGGATGCCTGGTGCTTCATCCCACTAACCACTATCCCATTCAGCTGGGGCGACTTCAATTTCGACGAGTTGTTCGAGCCCGATTACTTTTGGCATGTGTCTCTCACATGTCGTACCCGGATGGATATCAATCTCCCCCATATGAAGTGTCTACTCGCAAACGATATTCCGGGCGATGATCGACTTACAAGAGGGGAGTTGATCAGTATCGTGAATATCATGGTTGGTCGACTGCATACCAAACATCTTCGACCTCATGTGTTAGCTCCGGTAATTAAATGTGCTTTTATGTACTAACTGTTTTCAAAGCATCTCGGATTCCTATCCCCTCCCCCCAAGCCATTTAGTATCTACATTCGCTAATGAGCCAACTCTTTTGTATATGTGTGTATAGGTCATGTTGTTTTCCCTCATGGGTCCACAGCATCTTCGTGTCTTGGAGGCATATTATAATAGTGTTAATCTCGTGGTGCGAAAAACGAAGCTATATAATATGATGGAGGATGATGGAAATACCCTAACTTTACTTGTGCGATGGTGGTTGGGTCATGCGGTTGGGGAAACTAAATCAATTACTAACTAGCCCGGAGGCTTTTGGTTCTTGATATAGCCTATATTATAATGCATTTTGTGTGAGATGTATGTATGTTCTCATTGGTAACTAGATTCCTAAATACTGTGTACGAGGAGTGCGGTCATATATAAATCAGACCCTTTCTCAACAACAGGGTTCTCTATGTCGAGTATGCGAGAATTACTAACTACTACCTATTTCCCAGCTGGCTACAGTGGGGTTTAGTCTAGTTGCCAAGTCGGGTAACTGCCTACTGTCGGGATATACCAAGCTTCCTACTGTTGTTAAGTATTGCAAAATATATATCGTGAGCCCCTCGCTCAGATCCAGATACAAGAGGATGGAAGGGAAAGCAGATACTGACATTTAACGGAAATAGGCCTTCAGGGAGGGGTAGGAGCAGATATTGGTATTATCGGACACAGTCGCGGTATATTAGACGCGATGAATGGCTAAATAGAGGGATATTCCTTAGATACCAGGAGATGTCCGATAAATGGATAAACCATGAATGTCAAAGAGTATGTACATAGTAGTAGGAGAAAGCATTACTCCTGCACCTGCTAATATACTATGTACCTATTCCAGGGGCAACTGAGACAGCAGCACAGCTCACAGCCACTGCACGTCCCTCCTGGCAAATTTGGCACACAAGAGCAATGGGAACGGCGCAATCCATCGTCTACCACTCCATGCTACTGATCACCAATAAACGTATGACAGCAAATGAGGGTTGCTCAGTTCTAGCACGCACAGACCGGCGAAAATTCGGGGGTGACTCTGGTTATCTCAGAAACATGGTTGGGTCGATTACGAATATCGGGTCAGGTCCTGGGTGATTTCTGGACCTACGACCCAGGAACTGATGTCAAACGGATACTAGCAGCCTTATGGCCATCTAGGCCTGTTCCACCATGCAGTGTCGAGACCTGACTGGTCGGCTATAATTCACAATCTTGTTTGGAAGACTGGAGGGTGGGCCAACGGCAGGTCTGGCCAGCGTGCAGGGGAACTGGCGGACTCCGCCGGACTGACTACTCCACAGACGTCCAGGGTAGTTCACAACGGTGGGCCACTTCACTTGGGGCTTGAGGGGTTATGGTGCCTTCTGCCCTCTGGGCCCTTTTTGATTGATGTGGCCTGGCTTTGTCGATGTTCGGCAAATTGCAGTATGACTGGCGAATTGCAGTCTCCACCATCGATCCACCGCTCCTTTGCATTTCCCTGCCACAATCGATGAGTGGTCAGTTGTCAGTCTGAACAACGGACATCTCCTTTTTGCACCAATCAGATCAAGCCCCAGAACCGCGACGAGCGGACGATCCCGCTTAATAAGCATCGCTTGCCGATAGCCAACAACAAAGTTGTCGATCATAGGCATTATCTTCTGCATACCAACAAGACGATTTCCAGGGATGACGGGGGTCATGGGATTTGCATACAGGCAGCACACGCTATTGCCTGGCATACGAACGCAAAGATGGCGGATGCCACCAGGCGTGCGGATGTATGTCGTTTTCTATTCTCCGGGGATCGCATCCATGCAATGAATCATCCAGCTATAAAGTGACCGTGTGATCCCTGTTTGCAAGCTTGGTTCCTCAGCGAGTCTGCTGGGGAGGCCACAGGTGCCATCGTCCAAGCTGTCATGGGCAACTGTATATCTTTGCGGCGGTGGCGATCGCCACCACAGGCCAAAAAGCCCCGAAAAGCCCCTGGACATCTGGATAGACTCCCTTCAGAGGTCTTCAACAACATCGCTAGGTACCTTGATCGGACAGACTACCATAGTCTCTACTGCTGCTCGGAAAAGATGGCCGACCTGGTGAAACCGTGGATCCGTGCTTCTTTGTCTGCTAGGCAGCACATCGGACAGACACACAGTGAGAACGAATATATGCACATGCTGGCGACTAACCCGGACACCGTTCACTTGCCCACGTCCTTGCATGTAATGGTGCCCTATATCGGGGACAGTGCTGCACATAAGGTGAGTGAGGGGCGCCTCTCCTATGACCCGGAGGCTCTCCACCAAGCTCCCGAGATGGGGGCATTGCGGCGGGACTTGAACGATCTAGTCAACTGCAAAGAGTTTCGTTTCACGCTTGTCAGAGCAGACCAGAATGCAGAACCGAAATTGAACAATCAGGTTCTCTACATCGAAGATGCCTTGCATGCGGTTCTGGCGGATTCCACCGCGCAGGTGGAGAAACTCACACTGGACAGCAGAGTGGTCAAGTCGTGGGAGTGTGGGAAGTCGGCCATGCATGAAAGTCTCGACAAGGCATGGAGTCATCTGAAGTCGCTTAAGGTCACGGAAGCGCTTTCTTCGGATTTCTCGAAAGGCACCGCTCTTTCACACATCCTTCAGCACGCCCCGGAACTTCAAAGCCTCTCTCTTAACAGCCTAGCCGATGACCCGAAACATCGTTCAAAGATCTTCAGTTTGGCTAGCTCAGCTAGCATCAAAACCAATCGGCTCGAGAGACTTGTACTCGCCTATCTCAACGTTGAGTTGGAAGATCTAATTATGTGGCTGACACGTTTCGGCAGCACTTTGAGAACACTGGAGCTTCGCTCAGTTCGTCTGGCGCACGGAAGCTGGGTGGATGTCATTCAGAACATTCAAGACAAATGTACCAACTTGCAGAAAGTCGTCGTACAGTATCCGCAGGGTGCTGATCGGAGCCGGGGGTCTTTGATGGATATCAGGTGCTCCGGATCAGAGATCCGCTCCAAGCTGGAACGGCTTAAGCGAAGCGTAGTCAAAGCCGGTATTTAACTTGTTGACGGCGGAGGCCTTGCGAGTATCCAGAATTGTCCTAGACCGAAGTGCCAAATCATTCGGTCATTTAATTTCCTATATTTGTTTTCTTGTGATGTACTGCGAGCGTCCATGGATCCCAAATTGATATCTCGATCTATGTGATGTAAGCTGTCCACTCTTTTTTCTTTTTCTTTTTCTTTTTCTTTCGTTTTGCTTTTTGCTTTTAACCAGAATGTCCATCAGATGGTTCCTGACAGGGCTGGCCCATGGCCTTGGGTCGCTCACCGTCCAAACCACCGCCATGTATCCGATCAGACGCTGTTCATGGTACCGAGATAGCCTACCAATGCACTGGCCATTGAACGCCACGAGGGCCATCGCCCATCAGTTCAGTTCGTACGACAGCCGTAGAACGGAAACGGCGACGGGAGGGCCCTTCCATTCCGATGACATCGTAAGCGGACTGGTATACGTCGGCAATCCTACCGCATGATGCGCGGATCGTCGTTGGGCGCATCCCGATCAAGGGATTGCGCCCGCCTTTCCGGATTCGGCCAGATAGAGTTTTCCGAGCCATGCACCACTGCGACTAACCTCGACTAGCCCGCCGGGTTCCACCGGCCACCACCTCGCGATCCCTTCTTCAGGCTCGCGCGGGTATAACTAGACCC